CCCAGTTAACATACTTAATGTGGTTGTATTGTACACATCTGGGAGTTAATATTGGTTGTGTTATCAGCAAAAGCTCCAAGACGGAATAGGAGCATATTTATATTAGCAACAGAGTGATTGAATTACGTTATATCATGATCATAAATTGTGGTTATTTTCTACCTAAAAATACACAAATAAAAAAACATTGATACTGCAAAGGGCTTTGTGATAATCCTTACCTACAGCAGCAGCTGCTTTGAAACATGAGTTTGTTCTTTTATTTCTTCCTTGTTTTGCTTTCGAGAGCACCATCCTTGATCTTGAGGTATTGTTAGTGTTTCATTAAACCGGCTGAAGGAGAGAAACTTGGAGAAAGAGGGAAAGAGAATGATCAGCTGATTATTTCAACTTTGTTAGCGTGTCATTTTTACTAGACCTGGTACTTGAACCAACCTGAATGCATTCAGGGTGGTCCATTGGTTGAACAGTTATGTTTTTTCTGGTCAGGGATTTATGTTTCCCATATGTCTCCACCAATGAATCAATTAATTGGAGACAAAATTAATATAACCTCAAATTTCCTTAATGATCATATATGAGGCTATTTTACAATGAAATTGATTCTCTGTTATTGTATTAACTTGGATTTAAGGGGGCCTATCATGCAAAATGCACTTTTGTACGTCTTTTATACATGAATATGTGTCCCCTGTGTGTCAGGGAACTCACCAAGTGTCAGAAAACACAACCCTCTCTCTTTTCCTCCATACCCAAATCTCTAAAAACGGGGCTGCAACGGATCTGATACAGACGTTAATTGTTCTGACGTCAGAAAAGGGGTGCTCCGCCTATACAGATGTAGCGATTCATTTCAGACAGTTTGAAACGTGAGGGCCGTGATTGGTACGTGATCTGCCCTCGCTCAAGGGAAAACCTCCAGCTTAACTTGAGACCGCCCCCGTGATAGATAAAATGTAATTATAATGGAAGCCAGCTGAATGGATTCATTGATCCACCAGGGGGGTTGCAGTGGGGTTCCCACACTGGAGTTCATGTGAAATAAGTCAGATGCAGTACGACTTGGATGTACAGCCGGAACTTGTTAAGATCCATATGTCACGGATATCATTTACTCATGTGCTAAATAAGAGACCATGTAATCAATTTACAAAAAACATCACCATGTTTTATTTAACAAAATATGTTGTTTAGTCGAAAAAAACGAACGGGAGGAAATGCAGCCGGCTTTCAATTTTTTAATCCTAATTTTAATCATCATCTTCACCACGTCATTATGTTTATGTTCGCCGAAATACATTGAAATTCCAACTTGGCCCATATGAATATACTGTATTGCAACTTCATTAAAAAAGTTATTAACGTGCTAACTCGATAATTCACAAAAATATTTATTTTTTAAATGGAGCCTCGTCGTCAGATCAGGATTCCAACTTGCAGGCGGAGGGGATTATGGTCTGGCAATGACGGGTGTTATTTTCCCATAAGAACAAGTCGCTGCAAATTATTTGCCCGCTTGATTACATGGGCCCCCCAACCATTCTCACAAAAGTAACGACATGACTCCATATTAATTTAAAATGGCTTTATGAGATTAGAAAATGTTTTTATAGATTTAAAAAAATAGTTGTATGTATTGATTAAATTTGACATGCATCCGCTAAGAAAAATAGTCCGTTGTTACAGTTTTTTTAAACAGTGTGAATGAACGGCAGCTCCTCTCCCCCCCTCCCCCCCTGATCTTTCTTCTCCAGCAGCTAAATTTAACACTGAGGTTTACTCTGAGTGACCATAGACTGTATGTGACAAGCCTTACCCCAGTTAGTGACCGTAACAACACCATAAACAGCTGTGGGTTGAAAGCATACGCGGCCAGGTAAAATAACTTACAATGAATGTGTGATTTATGTATTGCGTCTTTTTATGTTTTTATGTATAAAATGTTAATGTAATTGCAGGCCTTATAGTTCACCCTTCCTCTAAAAGCCTTCACAATGAGCAATATATCATAGTAAATTTAATAAATCCTTCGCAACACACATTGTAAAAAATAGCCTACTGTAAAGATTAACGAAATCATCGTCAATATGTAACATCTTGCTGATGTAACAACAAAACACATTTAAATAGTAAGCATAAGCGAAATTGGTATTGGCACATTTAGCTTGAGTGTTTAGCTCGACGCTGAGATGTTTTTATTACACGAAATTAACGGTGACCTGAGCGCCTTGGGAGCGCAAACTCTCTGTAATGAAAAGAGAAGTGAGCACAGGATCCCGAAGCCACCGGTTCCCCGCACCCCCCAACGGAAATATCGGCTTTAAAAATGAGGAATAACAAGGATTTTACGGCAGTCCCAGACACCTAAAGCAGGCCTGTGTTAATAATAAGCAGAAACGCCAAAAGAGTCAGCATCCTAATAGAATCATATAAAGTATTTCATTTTAATCTGTGTAGGCAGTCCAGCTTTTATAATTTTGGGCAGGAACTGTTGAGCATTTGAAAAATGTATTCTTCTGCCTGCCACTGTGCAAGGCTTAGTCTTTCTAATCTTATAATGCCCACATGGTGTACAAGTAAACTTAAGTTCATTAAACTCCAACAAGTACTATAGCTTTGGGGCCAATTTTGAAAGATACTTGTACTTTATTTAAGTATTTAAATGGTTTTGCTACTTGTTCTTCTAACTCCCACTACAAGTTTCAGAGGTTACATGGTGTACTTCTACCTACTCCCATGATGTATTTAATACCTTCTACGTTAGCTTTACCAGATGTGGATGAAACTGAATGTGAAAATGATTCAAGTGTTAAATCAAGACCTTTAGTTTCCGAACCCTGGAGTAAATCCACAAGGCTACCCTGGCAGTATACAAGTCATCTCCAAACTAAAGGCTGGCACCTTTACCCAGCCTTTGAGAACACTTTGCATGATCAATCCATTATACAAAACATATATATATATATTCTGAAATGGAGCCAATCATGGGCACAATGACTACTTTTACTGTCGTACTTCACTATATTTTTGTGAAGAATACTTTTGCTACTTTCACTTGACGGAACATTCTGATGGCAGGACTTTTACTGATTAACAGAGTTATTCCTAACACTCTGGTAAGCTATTCTTGTTACTCCAAGTACAAGAATCTGAGTACTCTAGCTTTTTACTCCAAGTACAAGACCTGAGTACTGTTCTACTTTTACTGTACAAGATCCTGTGTGCTTCTAACTTTTACTCAAGTAACAAGATCTGAGTACTTCTAGCTTTTATCTAGTAGCAAGATCTGAGTACTTCTACTTTTAGATGCCCAAGTAAACAATATATATATATTAGATATAGTACGCTTATGGCCACCTCCGCGTTTATAGGGCCTATGAAAAAACTAATTAGAAATAGAAGGCTAAAGCTAAACGTTAGGCAGATAGTGACAATATATGCTAGCTAGCTAGCCTCAACGATTCCTCTAAATATATTGGCCACCAGAAAACTTTTCGCGGAAGTTCACATCACGCTCCTGCCGCTCCGAGCAGGGACTCTGCCTCTGGAACAACCGCTGAACGGCCCGTTCTAACCAAGCTGTTCAGCCCTAATGGACAAGCCTAAAGTGGGGCGCATTAATACGGGGGTGAAAAACGGCGCGAAACATACGGGGAAGGTCCGTTTTTTCGCGCGAAAAAACGCGGCGAACATACGGGGAGGTCCGTTTTTTGCATTACCGAGGGAAGGTCGCGTTTTTTCCGCGCACGGGGAGGTCGTTTTTTGGCGAAAAAAAACGGGCCGAATATACACGTGCGAATGTTCCGCGCGTTTTTTTATATTGATAATGAGGCCGCCTCCTTCTGATTTCCTTAGGGCAATAGTTCAAGGTCTGTACAATCCAGTGAAGGGTAAAGCCAGACAAAGCAATCCTGTAGATGAAAGTTCCTGAGCATGGTAGGCTGTGCTCGTAAATTGTGGCATTATTCCAAGATTCAGGGGAGCTAAGTATTAATTTGCCTTGATATACATAATATATTTCAAATCAATATATGCAATATAACCTGCCTTCATTGTTTTTTAAAACTAAAATGGCATTACCCTTTTCCTTAAACCTCTGGAGTGTGAAGTGGAAGGTTATTTTCTCAATTTTAGATTGTCTCCTAAATCGCACTTTTAAAAGTAGCTTCTTTAATAACATGTGCATGGTGTTAACATGTCAAAAATGTTCAGTAAAGCTCTGGTCTGCTAGAAATGGGCAATCCTCCCACGCTTGAGCACGTCTATGAAGAAAGCCATAGCCCTTAGAAAATCGCGATTTTTGGAAAAAACTTCAAAAACCCTGTTGTGAAAGCAGCATAATGTTACCTACACGTCATGCCATTTTTTTTGGTGTTTCAGATTTTGTTTTCACCCGCAAAGTCCTTCTGGTTCAGCAAAAGTAGTGAAATATATCAATACACTATAAGCCTTTATAGAAGTGTTTGTTGCATGTCTAAAATGAAAATGTGTAACAATTATAATTTAGGTAAAATATTTCCTCCCCTCAACTTTCACGCCAAGCAGAAAAGTTGACATCAGGACTGAATAATGACTTCATATTCCAATAGCCAAAGGTTTATGTGTGTGTACACAATGACAAATGTGCAGCAATTTCAAGCTTTATTTTTCCAACCCCAACTATTTTATGTTACATACTGAACTGTAAAAAAAAAAAAATCTTTACCCCCCCACAATATTTCCAATATCAGAACTTTTTCAACCAAACTATCATTATAAAGTGTAAAGAGCAGGGGTCTTTGCCATGGTCCTTTGTCTGTCTTCCAAGACCAGTGGGTCTGGCTGGCTGTGTAGGTGTGATGTGGCATGGGCCTGCTGGTGCTGTGTGCGGAGGGAGGTAGGGGGGATTGTCGCCGGGTTGATGCTGGTGGCTGGATTGGAGGCTACGTCCTGCTAGGGCCCCGAGACTTCCTTTGGGGCGGCTGGGTTGATCGGGGATGGCTGTGGGTGGAGGCCCTTTGTCACGGCGGAGTGTATGTTATATCTTGTGCCAGGGACCAGATGGGAGGGGCCGCTGTTAGTGATGCTCGGTCCTTTGGTCCCCGCTTCCGGTGGTTGATGGCTCTGGTGAAGGCCTTGAGCAAGGTAGACTCTTGACCCTTGGGTGCACGCGCACAGATGGAGGTTGCATTTCTCCTAAGGCCCAGGCAGCTGTTGAAATCTGAAAGAGAAATAATAATGGACATAATTACTACTAAAGTTCATTCCAAATAAAGTTCAAGTGGAATGTTTCCTAAAGCACAAAATACAGCAATCACAACTAAAAAATAAATGGAAGAGGCGGGAACAAGGAGTCTCTCTCTTTACACAGGTAATTTTTTCCAGTTATTCCCGCATTCAGTAATAAAGTCAAGCAGACACAAATATAACTAACATCTACTAGTGTTGTTGTGTGGGAGCGAAACAAGTTGATGTTATTCATCCCACAGATGGTTACCTCCAGCTTTTACACCCCACAGATAAATCACTTTTACAGCCACGATAACGTTTACTAACGGAGGTCTATTTGTCACCAAGAGAAAGTTCAATGAATATCGATAACGAATAGCAAACCAATACCCATATGTGGGATTTCACCATTCCAAAAAGTTTGTTCTGCTTATTATCGCTCGCTAGATGACAACGCTCTAGGCATGAACCCCTCAGTCTGGCAATGGCCCTGTGTCTCCCCCCTCCCCACCTCATAGGCCTGGGCATTTGCTTCTGCTTTGACCAGGAATAGGTGGGCAGTAAAAGCACCCTTGCATTTGCAGCAATCGCTGAATCAGGAAGGCCTCTTATCTACCCCAATCCACTGCTATGTTTTGCAGTGCACAACGCAGCTATTCCAATTGATTGTTTGAAAATCTCCCTTGTCGCTGACAGAACCACCCATAACAGATCTGGAAACAAAATGTCACTGCGCCATTGGGGCTAATGCCAAACCCCCAGTGGCTTTCCATGGTGGCAGTGAGATTTCTTGTAAGAAATAATAATTTCCAGCTTTTGGAGGAGGAGTGGAGGATGGTGTTTGACAGCTCCAGCGCTGTGCAATCCCAGGATCACGCTTGTGTCCGTGCTGGGAAATCTTTGAATGCCTCCCCTGGGAGGTGGGCCCTTGAAACTTTCTGCAGGTGTAAAGGGACCAAGATAGCCCAAAATGTGACGCCCAAAATAAAAGTTGTAAGAAAACTTGTCCATGTTGCAATGATGCGGGCCTCAGCAGTGGACTGGTGTACGGTTGAAGCGGTTTGGCAAAGGGTCCCTCCCCCTGCTTTCAACCCCCCACCCGACAGGAAGCCATAGAAAAAGGAAGAATCCGTCAATTGGCCTGAAGCAGGCCTTGTCTCTGGAAGATAAAAACAAAAAAAAGGGGGGAGCGAGGATATTGGAAATGTCCCATGAGTGTAGCACAGCTATTGGGAAACAACTTAGTTGTTTTAGTTCTCCCTGATGTATTCAAAAAGGATTGAGCTAGCTTTAGCCTTTTAGCCTACACAAAAGCAATGAAATGTCGGAGGACATTTTCCCTCAGTTTGTGTTTAGATT